GGAGTTCTGGTTCCTCTGGCTTGCTTAGTTGGGGACACTTCATATCCAGCGATATCGTGGACTTGATTGCACAGATACTATTTAAACTGAACTGAGCTGGATGATGACATCACTGAATTCAATGATGAACTGCCTTTAACTGAACATTGAGTGTTTACTATTGTCCTTCTGCATTATTGACACAATATTTTCCTGTTTAATACTGTAAAGCTGCTTTGACACAATCTGTATTGTTAAAAGCGCTATATAAATACAGGTGACTTGACTTGACTCATTTGCTATAAAACAAACTTTTAATATATAAAAAAAGCATACTTTCAATGAACTTTCATTTTGTAGGTTACCTGTATTTAAGTTATTATTACTTAATCAAAACAACCCAACTGCAGTTTGATTGATATTTCTTGGAATGCACAATAAAAAAAAAACGTGATTTCTGAAAATAAATAAAAATGGAGTTTTTGCAAATGAGCTCTTCGTCTGTTGATGCAGGTGTTGAGCTCTGATGCTGGATGTGTCTCACACCTGTTGCTGGCTGACGGAGGCTGTGGGAAACGTCGGTCCCGTCGAGGGCATCACGTACCCGCTCTGATGCGGTGGAGGCGCAGGGCTCTGGAGCGGGTAAACGTCACCCGAGGCCTGCTGGACCAGCATCATGTGACCGAACTGAGCGCTCAGATTCTCCTGCTGACAGAAGAGTTCACACCAGACGTCTGAACAGCTGCACTAACTAACACACGTTAGTAGCTAGATGGGTGACTCCCAGAGCGCACGTACAGTGAGACGACCTGCTGTAACTATTGGTCTGTATGGATTATATTAGAAATGGGAAGAGACGGCACGCTTTTCTATTCATAGAATATTAATTCCAGCATCTGCTCCAAATATATAACAAACATAAGCAGTTAAAAAAAAAGCTGTCAGATGATTAATCAGGATTAATCGCATCCAAAATAAAAGTTTTTGTTTACATAATGTGTGTTTACTGTGTATATTTATTATGTATGTGTGTATTTATATATACATAATAAATATACACCGTACACACACATATATTATGTAAACAGAAACACTTGACGATGCAAATGAGATGCACACAGATCCTCGGCAGAAACACAGCACAAACACAAGGAACGGCAGAGCAATGAGACAGGAAGTGAACTGAGAGAGACAGGAAGTAGACCGAGAGCTGTAGGTACCACAGTGAAGGGCTGGTTAGGAGACGCTGTGAAGATCGCTGGGTGCTGGACAGACCAGAGAGACTGAAGACACACAGCAGGAAGAGGAAACACACACAGGAAGGAAATGCATTCAGTTACAGATGTACAGGAAGGAAAAATAAGATGTGTTTACAGCACAACATGAGCTCAAATTAATTTCCCATCATCCTCTCCTGTCACCAGAAGAACATTCAGAAAGTTAATGTGGCTCTTTAAGATTCATAGGTCCTTAAATAATGATCCACCGATTAATGATTTATCAGGACGGGCATCAAATACTCCCATAATGCATCACACCAGACCTACTGAACTCACCTGTGCCGTGACACGATTGGTGGGCTGAGCGGCTGGAGGCGGAGCTACAGATGATTGACACCTGGAGGCCTGTGAGGTCACGCTGGGACTGTAGACGACAGCGCTGCCGTCGGGGTTCAGAAACGGCTGACCTGAGATCAGTCCAGAGGACGGTGGATCAATATATAACAGATACACACACACACACATATGTGTCATAAGGGTCCATTTTTCAAAATTGAGATTTATACATCACCTGAAAGCTGAATAAATAAGCTTTCCATTGATGTATGGTTTGTTAGGATAGTAATAATTTACTGATTATCATTATCGGTAAAACACGTAAAGCTAACTATCATCACCCAGCTCTTTATATAAAGTTGAATATATAACTTTATCCACATACATACAGTGCACTAATGTAAAGACATATATACTGTATATTATGAATGTAACAGCACATGTATTCTTAGGAAACATTTCAACAAACTGGAGTCGAAACATCATTTTATAATTAAAATTAATACATTTTTTAATTAAAATTAATGTAAAAATCCTTTAGGTGCAATTTACATGTTTGCATGCATTATTTTTTAAATTTGAGTGTTGATTATTATGCATGTATAAAAAATAAACAGCCACTAAATTTAATAGCTTGGTTAATTGGTTCTGTTGTTAATTGTAACCTTTAATATTATAGTAATGTGCAAGTAATGTATATCTATATAGTTTACAGCATTAGATGAGAAAATGTTAATTATAACTGAATTTATTTAAAGACAAAGCCACAATCTGTTCTGTAAACCACTGTTTAATAATAAAAAAAAGAAAATAGAAGCAATTTTATGTTTTGCTCCCTGCTGACTTCAAAGCCGAGGTACATAGCATACATTTTTGTCCAAAAACCATTTATGTGAAGCGTCACTCCCAATATATAACTGATTGCTTATACGGTTGTAAAATCTCTCTAGCTCGAATCCGCTAAATGTGGCTATAAAACATGAAGATATAAAGATCATGATTTTCTGTAAAGCTGCTTTGAAATGAATTTGATGTGCAGTACTGGTTCATCTGTTCACACGGAGAAAGATGAACAGCACTAGATTACGAACAGTGGTGTAAACGAGGTCACATCTGAGAGGAAGTCTAAATATAAACCTGTAAATGATGACAAATGGAGCACATGAGACGGTTCGGTCTTACAAACACCCTCACTGAGCTCCAGAACACAAAGGCCTCGACAGAAGACAGAAATTTCCCATTTGCAAACTCCTTAAAAGAGGTCAATAAGCAATTACACAGCCGTGCTCGCAGCCGCATGCATATTTAAACACAGATGAGTTATTTTTCAGCTCATCGTCATTTTCTGTAATGCAGAGAAAGCGTGGGAATGGTTGCCAGGTTGGGAAGATTAACAGTTACTAGGGGTGTTACGAGACACTTATCACGAGACTGGGTTCACGGGAACGAGACGAGATGAGATTTTTAGACTTTTTAAAAGAAATCCTCAATGATGAAATATATAGGGGAAAATAGTCTTTTATTCTTATTAATTAAAATCATGAAACTTATACATTTTCACATCAATTTATTAAAAGTTTAACAAAAATTACATGTTTAGGGCCCAATGAAATTTTTTATTTTTTCTCACCATATTATTTATTGTTACCAAATGTTGTGTTTTAGCATGTCTAATTATTTAAATTATTATTAAAACAACTTAATTTATTCATTTTTTTCTTAAAGTAGCCTTATGAATTTTTTTCCCCCTCAGAAATTCTGTGTTGTGTATTTACATTTTTTCTGGTTATCAAATGAAGGCATAAAACATTATTTTGTGTGATTATTCCTTAAAAAAATAATGTTTGTTTCATTTTTGTAGTAGTAGTAGTAGGCTATGTACATTCTACTGAAAAATAGGCACAATGTCTTCAAATCAAACCGGACTTTTATTTTGACGGGTTGCCGTGAATACCTTTACAGTTCTGTGTATGAGATATGATGCTAGTTTTACTCAAATCAAACGCTAAAATGCTGATGAAGTGACTCTCAGAGCAGTTCTGGAGATGTTGTTCATGTGTTTACATCCTCATTTAATGAGACGGCAGACGCTGAAATCACCACGAGTGTCACGCGCGCTTCAGTGTGTGTGTAGTAAATGAAACCGCGTAAACTGTGAATTCTGTTTTTATGACTGGATGAAGACTACACTGCGTAATTTTCCCGCTTATCATGCGGCCACTTGCCTGATGTGAACACAATATCTTACACACCACCACTTGTGAACGAGCCAGTGTAATGCATATCTGAAAGGTCTGCGCGAGGATATCGTCACGTTCTCGCGAGACACATCGAATCTCGCGAGATCTCGTCACACCCCTAACAGTTACTGTATTGATTTAAGAGAAAAGCTCTGATTGGGGGATTTAAGCTTTTGGTATCTGGCAACCGCAATCATGAAAGCTTGCGGAGGCTTGCTTTCAATGCAAGATAACTGAATTGAACACGCAAATATCACAGATGATTGTGCTTAATTAATCAGGAAACAGAAACACAAATCGACCTCAACACTGAATTTATATCGCAATTTCATGATGAAGAAGACATTTAACCCTGTAAGGCCCACTGTTGTAATATTACAACATCAGTTTTAGCTTGACTAAAACAAAGCTGCTCATGATTTTTTTTTTCTCTAAGACCACATTTACACAACTAATAGGTCCTATTGTTTAGCTATTAGATGGTAGATTTTAAAAATAGGCCTGTTTACCTGGCCATAAACTTGTTTTACTGGATAAATCTACATTCAAGTAAGTAAAATGCCTAAAATATTTTTTCTGTGATTAGTAATATGTCTAGATCATGTAGATATTAAAGTACTGTTGAATGCATTGATCATTTTAGAATTTGAGCTTGTTATGTCAGTGTTGTAATTTTACAACACTGGGTTAAAGGGGTAGCAAAGTTTGCACATACAGTGAGTAAAACCACTGAATTTCTGTTAACCAAGAGCCCAATGTTGCAACATTACAACATTTCCCTAAAAATGTCAAAAATGTAAAAGCCCATTTATTTCTGCTTTAGAGGCCTCCTACAACAACATTTAAAAGGTGAAATATTTTTTTAACCCTTTCAGGGTTAAGACTTCCAGTAAAACCTGTGGTGAAATACTGTACCGTAACATCCCATCGTACAGCATGAGAGTTCATGAAGCGTCAGTCTTAGCGACGCAGGGTTAAAATCAGGTTAGTGGAGGACTGAAGTCATGCATGCGAGGGAAATCAGCCGCAGCGTTCACCAACCTGTGTGCGGGTTGACCAGGACACTTCCAGCCGGTTTCCCTGCGGCGTCCAGCGGAAGCAGATAGTAGCTAGCGCTAGCCGTGGACGCCAGCGGCTCGTAGCTGACAGCAGGGAAAGGCGTGGGCTGCGTGGCAGCTGGAGGAGGCTGGGATCGAGAGAGCGAACCCGTGGACGAAGCTACGCTACTACAAGAGTCAGAACCTAGAGAGGAGTAACAGGAGTCTTGAGGAAGAGCAGCGATTCATTGGGGATCATCAGCATACTGGAGCACCACGGATATTAAAACACTCCAGAATATGGAAGGTCAGACAAATTTCAACAAGATGCTCAATTCAATTTCATTTCTAATTACCTCAGGGACCGAAGCAATTGAAGAAGAGAATAATTGTATTAGCTGAGAATGACATGTTAATTAATTTCTGATTAGAGTCCCGCTTCATTTTGCAATTTACGTGTTTCTTTCTCTATTCCCAAAGATAGGATGTTTTTTCTCTTTGAAATTAAAAACACTAAATGCGTGTACATGTCAAAGGCCATACTGGCGGAGGACAGTCATATATAACACAAGTCTCTTCTGCTCACCAAGGCTGCATTTATTTGATCAAAAATACAGTGAAAATTGTGAAATATTATTCTAATGTATAACAGCTGTTTTCTATGTGAATATCTGTTAAACTGTAATGTATTTCTGTGATGCGCAGCTGTATTTTCAGCATCATTACTCCAGTCTTCAGTGTCACATGATCTTCAGAAATAATTCTAATATGCTGATTTGCTGCTCGAGAAACATTTCTGATTATTATCAATGTTGAAAACAGTTGTGCTGCACAATATTTTTGTGGAAACTGTGATGCATTTTATTTTTCAGGATTCACAGATGAATATAAAGTTCAAAAGAACAGCATTTATTTGAAATAGAAATCTTTTGTAGCATTATAAGCTGAATAAAATCTTACTAACTCCACCCTTTTGAACAGTAGTGCATAAATGATCACCAATGAATTTAGAGGACTGAACAAATAGAGTTAATAAAAGAGAATGAGAATTTGAGGGCATGCAGTGAGACACATATGAGTCGCTACATAAAACATGCTGCTATTGCAAGAACGGAGACCGTATGAGAGGAAAAGCAGAGGAAGAGCGTGTCAACAATCAACAAATAAACCCGTCCATGCGTCCCTCACCTGTGTTTGAGAGCCGCCCCGTGCTCTTGCTGCTGCTGGAGCTGTCTCCGCGGATCAGGACCGGGATGCCGCTGAAGCTGCTGGCTTTGGTCATGGCGGGCTTCAGGTTGAGGTTGGAGCTGTCCGAATCGGTGCTGCTCCACGGCCGCGGCTCTGAATACATGGCCTCGTTCTCAGAGCTGCTTTGGCGGCTGTTCCCCGACTGACTGTCCTTCAGCCTGCATGAGAAACATCAGACAGCTTTAGAGGAACAGATTCATTCCACATGCAAGTCATTACACATGAGGGACGCTCACAATCACCTGAAGATCTGCCGCCTCTGCTGGATGTTGTTACACACATCATCCTCCTGAATCCTGGAAAACATGTCACTTATTACATTTATGTATTTGGCAGATACTTTTATCCAAAGCAACTTTCATTGCATTCGAGGTGCACGTTTAATCAGCTCATGCATTCCCAGGGAATCCACAACCTGCACCAGTTTAGTGCATGAAAACGACCCCCACTAAACATTTATGCATTTAGCAAAAGCTTTTATCCAAAGCAAATTTCCTTTTTTCAGTTCATGCATTCGAACCCATGACCCTGGTGTTGCTAGAGACATGATCTGTTGTTTGAGCTACAGGAATTGTTAATACTCACATCAAACACTGTTTGCCACCCATTTACTCCCATAATGTGACATTGTATTCAAGGTGCACGTTTAATCAGTTCATGCACTGCCAGGGATTCGAACCCATAACCTTGGTGTTACTAACGTCATGATCTGCACCAGTTTAGTGCATGAAAACAACCCTCACTAAACATTTATGCATTTAGCAGAAGCTTTTATCCAAAGCAACTTACATTTTTCATCTCATGCAATCCCTGGGATTGCTAACATCATGCTTTGCTGTATGAACTGAACTGATTGGAGCTGAATAGTAACATTATTGTCTTTTTAGAGCTAGAATTTGAATTAGTCTCATATTTGATAAAGTTGGCATCACTGATTCGATCAGCATTGTATAAAAGGCTATAGAATTAAATGTGACTTGACTTCTTACACTCACCTTTTATCCAGCGTGAAGGTGTCTAAACCCTGCAAAAGAGATTCAGTGTTGTTTATTTTCACGTCAGAGAGCCATAAGCACATGATCATGTCGCTGTAGCGTATCTCACATCAGTGAAGATCCTCTCTCTTGCTCTCTGATATTCCTCCTCTCGCTCCTCGATGGACTTGCTCCTCCTGTCCTCCTTTAGTTTCATGCGTGTCTGAAACAGCAGCATCACATCACATTATGCCGTTACTCTGCGAGCTAATGGCGGGTTTGATGTCGCTTCATTAGCAGATCTCCACCTACCACGCTGTCGTCTTTGTCTACGCTGGAGTTGTCCCTTTTTAAGATGCAGCGCTTCTGGAAATCATCCGTCTTGTCGTCTTTGATGTGTTCGGAAAACTTCTGATCTGGTCTGCACACGAACAGAGAGAGAAATCAAAATGAGGACCGCTCCAGGAGAAGTTCACGGCCGTCACACAAACACGATCCCCGCGAGCCTGACGCAAATCCCTCATAATTACGCTTCTCCTACAAAACTCGTTTCGAAGGGATCAAACGCAAAACGTTGGGCTTCAGTCGTCTCACGCTGAACGCTAGCATGCGGAGGTCACTCACATTCGTGTATTGCTGGTTTTGTTGATGATGACACATTTGCCGGTCTGGTCGACGTTGTGGTCTAAGCCGAAGTAAGCGGCGACTCTGTGCAGGAGCATTCGGTGATAGGAGGTCATGGGCGGAAACTTCCCCCTCTGACTCCTGGAACAAACCAAAACACATCAATAGCACACCACGCAAATGTGTTAATAATCATTCAACTGTTGGAGGTTTATGCATTCAATTGATTACACATGCCTTTGATGATTGAAATTTAAACAAACCATTAAAACTGAATCCAGAAATATTAAAATGGGGTGGGGGGGGATGGAATTTGGGGAAAAAAAATAAAATGAATTTCATATGGCCCTAATATGTAATTTTTGAATTCCATTAAATTGAATTTCAATTAATTATACACACATTTTGATGATTAAAATGTAATCCATTAAACCGTTAAAACGGGATACAGAAATATTACAATGGGGAAAAAATGGAATTTGGGGGAAAAAAAATATAATGGATTTTATTCATCCCTAAAATTTAATTTTTGTTAATCTTTTAATAAATTGTATAAGTTTCATTATTTCAATTAATTATACATGCCTTCTGATTATTAAAATTTAATAAAACCATTAAAAAATGGAATCCAGAAATATTAAAATGGAAAAAAAAATAGAACTTGGGAAAAACAGCTCTAAAATGTAATTTTTGTTAAACTTTTAAAATTTCATAAGTTTCATTATTTCAATTAATTATACATGCCTTTTGATTAATAACATTTAATCAAACCATTAAAACCAAATCTGGAAATATTAAAATGCAATTTGGGGAAAAAATTTATTTCATAGGGCGCTAAAATGTTGTTTTTGTTAAACATTTAATAAACTGCTATTAAATTGTACAAGTTTCATTATTTCAATTAATTATACATGCCTTCTGATTATTAACATTTAATAAAACCATTCAAATGGAATCCAGAAATGTTAAAATTGAAAAAAAAAATTGAATTTGGGGAAAAAAATTAATTAATTCAAGTTTCATTATTTCAATTAATTAGACATGCTGTGTGATAACTAACATTTTAGTTTTAAAATGTAAACGACAAAAATAAATAAATAAAAACAATCCAGAAAGTCTAAAATGGACAAAACGTAATTTGGGGTGAAACTGGATTTCATGAGGATGACACAGAGCTGCGATGAAGGACTTACTCGTTATTACTGATGAAGTCGAGGATGTCCTGCTCCAGCTTCAGCAGCATCATTCGGTCCCTGAAGATGAACAACTAGTTAGCCATCGATTCACAGCGTCTACTGCTCCAATCAGAATCACTCAGAACAGGAACCCTACCCGCAATAATCATCACTGACTAGCAGTACTAATATAACCAGCACTATCTACAACTGGACACAAATGAAGCTCTGGAAAGTGTGGGTGGAGCTGAAATGAAACACGAGTGTCTGGTTGAGGTCAAGCGTGTGTAACCTGGGGATGTTCTTCAGCGTGTTCACCAGGAACCTGTGCAGGTCGATGCCAGTCGAGTCCGTGTATTCCTGACTGGAATCTGCACAGACAGAACATGTTAACGACATGTGTGTGTGTGTGTGTGTTTTCTTCTGCGCACAGCTCAACACACACACCTCTGGACAGCATCTTGCGTGGCACTTTCTCCGCACTTCTGTCTGCTTCATCCGCGTCTGCAGTAAGAGGCCATTCTTCTTTATCAAACGTCTGCGAGAGTTTAATATGATCTCCATCCTGCGGTTCAAAACAAACACAACACTAATGGAGCTCGACAGTAAGCCAACATTTCAATGAAAATATTCATGTCTTTATGCCAACTACTGCAATCATATTATTAATTAAACCACCCAATCATGCAACTAAAATTTGATAACTTGCATCAATTAATAATGTTGTCTGCTATGTCATAATAATAATCAAACAGCAATATTGACAAAAAAAGAGAAAAGACAAAACTCAATTAGTTTGTATTTAAATGTACAATACTGCATTATTATTTAACACCGCAAAGAGATAAATAAAAGTCTATAGTTACAATGAGTGTGCTCAATAACAAATTAGCTGTTCCTGTGGTTTCAAAATAGTATTTTTAGACAGTACTTTCGGATGGATGGATGGATGGATGGATGGATGATAGATATAGTCAGAGGATGGATGGATGGATGGACGGACGGATGATAGATATAGTCAGAGGATGGATGGATGGATGATGGATGGATATAGTCAGAGGATAGATGGATGGATGGATGACAGATATAATCAGAGGATGGATGGATGGATGGATGGATGATAGATATAGTCAGAGGATGGATGGATGGATGGATGGATGGAGGGTAGGGAGGATGGATGGATGGATGGATGATAGATATAGTCAGAGGATGGATGGATGGATGGATGATAGATATAGTCAGAGGATGGATGGATGGATGGGTGATAGATATAGTCAGAGGAAGGATGGATGGATGGGTGATAGATATAGTCAGAGGATGGATGGATGGATGGATGGATGATAGATATAATCAGAGGATGGATGGATGGATGGATGGAAGTAAGATATAGTCAGAGGATGGATGGATGGATGGATG